AAAAAATTCATGTGACACGAAATTCGAATTTATTTTCACATATAGAAAAACAGCCTCAGGGAAATGTCACACGACTAATAATAAAAGATTGCTTTTTCCTGGGAAAAAAAAAATAATAGTTTACAACTTCATCTCGCACACGTTTTTTTAACAATTACAAAATCACAATCACAATCACACATTTATCACATTATAATTTTTCTTCACTTTATATCACAATTTTTATATAAGGTTCATTCATTCATTCACTCATTATTCATTCATTCAATATTTCTTTTTGGACAATATTAATAAATGATTTTCACGTTTAAATAATCTTTATTTATAATAATAGATATAAACAACATTTTTATTTTGTAAATATATATATATATTCCTTTTATCTTAGCAATATTATAAATATGCAAGTATTATAACATTTTTAATTAATTAATAATTATTTATATATGATTAGAACTTTGTATTGTGTTAATTTGACAGATAAGATTTTTTGGAATACACATGCAAAAAAATTGTAGGAAGTTACGCGGGAAGATTTTGTAACAATTGTATATTGTGGTTCTTTGCATAAACAAATAAAAATATTTTTGTCAATAAAAACAAATATAAAAATAATAATAATAAAACTATATTAATATATTTATATTTATATTTATTATTAACGCACAAAATCAATCCGGTGACCTATTCCGGGATTAATTTAAGATTTATTATTATGTCTACAAAAAGGAATTTATAGTTTCACAAAAATGTATAATAAATTCTGTGATCGATCATGCCGGGAAAGGAAAAGAGAAGCAATAATAACATGCACGAGTTGATTTCGCCGTGTAATAATCTATACAAATTTGGATGCGCACATTATTTAAAAAAAATAATGCATATTTAATGTTTTTTAATAATCATTCTTCTCGTTTTCTTGTTTTATTAAATAATTATCCAATGTATTTATTTGCATTTTATTTCTCAAATTGTTTTTTATTAATTTCATTTGAGAAAATATTCTTTCTACATTGGAAAGAGGTATGAGATGGGTTATTCCGTGATAAAGGGAAAATCTTTGTTAAATCAGCAAAATATTTGTCACTAAAATAAAGTTTTAATTGATGATCCATGAATGAGGGAGATGTTGATCATTTATATAGTAATTTGTGAAGGAAATTTCATATAGACGAAAAATCTACAGGTGCTACAAAGTAAAGTTTTTTATTTTCTGATTAAAAATCAAAAAAAAAAGTGTCAATATATTCCTTGATGTTTACTCCATCTTATAAAATAAAGGGATATAAATTTGAGGCACAAAAGCATAATGCTATTTTCTTGTAAAAGATCATAAAGTAAAATTTTTTATTAGTAAAATCAGCGATCATTTAATATGAAATCTCCCTTTTACTATGTACGGACACACTCATTTATCAATTAATCTATTCGTTCATATAAAACCTCAGTAAGTTTATATCCCTCATTGATATTCTCATTTGGAGCAGATAATACAGAGTCCATGATTTGATGCAAACTACTCACTGGATTTTGAAAATAGTATCACATATGTTTAAAAATTAATTAATAATAAAAAAAAACAGAATTAAAAAATTATAATTATCAATTTTAAAATTTGTTGATTTTGAAAAATAACCATACAAATTTTTTAATATTTTTCAAAATATATAACCTCTTCTAAAGCATTTTTTTCCAGCTAGAAGGAAGTTTATGTGATATGCAATGGTTGAAGATATGAATGTGTTGATTTCTTTAAATCTTGTTGCAACACCACTTGTATTTATTAATTAAAATTCATAAAATCTTATTAAAATCTCCATCACTCCCGAAAAGAATTATGATATTTCATTTGAATCACAAAATAATATAATTTGATTAAAAATATTTTCATCATAGTCCAGATTAACCATCTCATAAATGGTATATTATTGGTGATATATTTCCTACTATTTGCTAAATATTTATCACCATTAACACTATTAGTTTTATCAATCATTATACTCCTTTAAAAGGGATTTACGTTATTATTATTTAATGACAGTGGCTGAAACTACCTTACTTTGTGGGCCCAATTGCCAAAATTAATTAGCCTAGACTTAATTTTAATAATAGCTGAAATTGGGCGAAATTATTTTTAAGTTTTTTGAAATAAATTGATTTAGATGTTTTGTTATTATAAAAATATTGGACTATCATAGTATTAGATGAAACTACCTTTTTTTCAAAATAGTTTCAGCCACCATTACTAAATAATATCAATTAAAAAATTTTAAATTTAAAAATATACAATTAGAAAACTTTTTCCAAAAATCCATTATTATCAAAGAAATCCGTTATAATAATAATAATAGCTAAAACTATAATAATGAAATTCTTATCAATATAAAACCTCAATCCATTAAATCGAGGCACACTAAATCGAGATTCACTGTGTAATATAAGCTTGATATTATAAAAAATTTTAGGAATCCGGTTTGATTCGAATCGAATTGAGTCACTCTAAATTTCAATTTTATTCGATTTGTTCGAAGCCTTGACTTGCATATCAATGAATGAGATTTTCTTTCCAACATCATAAACTTTTCTACTCCCAGAAACACCTGATAGACTTGATTTTCCTGCAATCTTCTTCTGTGTTGTGTGAGACCTAACAAGAAGAATAAGAAAAAATCAATATACACCTCTATTTTTTTTGTCGACAAATGCATGTTATACTGAGATAAAATCGTTATATTTTAAGAACTATTTGTTTTTTTCGAACAATTGATGAGAGCGATCTTAGCAAACAATAAACTATCACTTTTTCGATCAATTAATGAGAAAGATTTTAACAAACAATAACGAACTATTGCTTTTTTGATCAATTAATGTGAGGATCTTATTATCATTTTGATCGTGATAGCATGTTGATATTTAAAATATTCGTGTTATTGTGACTTTAAAGGACCATACCAGCTATTACTGGGATGCTAAATTGGAAAAGCATATATGTTTGTTTCAATATATATATACGAGGAAAAATCTTGTCATCTCAACTAACCTTTAACTCTTTAATAATTAGGATACCTTTAATTTGTTTCAAAATATCTATATTACTACTTTATAAATATCAAAATATTACTATAATCATTATCTCGATTATTTCACCTAATCTCATTTTTTCACTATTACCAACAATTGAAAAAAATGACTTCAATTTTTACTGCCTTCTGTTACATTCCAGTTGCAGTTCCACAGAGGTCTATCAATGGAAACTGCAGTGATAAGGGAAGCCAAACTTACAAAGATATTGTCTTCAAAGAGTGTAGATGCATTAGATTTTGGGATCCTGACAAAAAATTATTCATATGCCCAGTTTAAAAACCTAACAAACTTACCCAAGGGGTATGCTTGCAAGAAGGCTCTCTCTTGATCGATGACGAAAGTATTGAAGTGACGTTCCAAACCCTGACAAGTATAATTGTGCAAAAGGAAACGAAATTGATGACAAAGGTGCACCAAGGCGACGATTTCATTTCCAAAACGCGTTCGTTTTGACAGCTCTCAAAACTCAAGGCTTAACATAACGTTAGATGTTGATGAAATCATGTTTACGAGCCACTTCGCTGGATAAGTTGCACATCCTGGGCTTTGATCATTCCCTGAAGCAGCCTTAGAGGAGTATAAAGTATTAGAGGCTGTAAACTGCATCAATATAAATAATAATACCAATAACAATAATGAAAATCGTTATAAATAACAATACTAACAACAACAATCAATAATATATGAATTATGGCGCACGCAGATCATCAAATTGATAGTGGTATATATGTATATAAAAAGTTTCCCACCAGGGCGCAGCTAAAAATATACACAATGATAGTTGTGGGGAAGAAGACAAAATTAGTTAAAACATTAATATCACAAACCAAATGTCTTATTTGGGTAGGTTTTAACTAGTTTTACATGGTCAATGAAATGGAGTGCATTCACTTAATTATCCTATTCTATTATAAAAAAGAGTAGACTATGAATGACATCAAGCCAAAAGGGTATTTTTTATTTTTCTATTACATGTAATTTTTTTAAACGAATAAAAAATATCACAGCAAGATTCACGTCGTCGTTAAACCAAAAAAATGTATTTTCTTGGTGTCTTATACAATTATCATCATGGTTTTTGTTATTTTTACGATTGAAGGACGATTTGAATGAGAAGGGCAAAAAAAAGAGAATGCGCATTAAAAATAAGAAACTTATTTTATTATAAATTAAAAAGTAATTATATGCTAATGTAACAATTTATATATATAACAGAGAATAAAAATAATTTTTATTAAAAAAAACCAAAATATTCAACGTAAGATAGCATAATAGCAATTACCATCGACGGGTTTTTTTGTTTGTGTTTGCACTAGTACTTCATTATTATTTCCTCGTTTTCCAGCAACATTAAACGCCTTGTTTTTTTTTATCTGTTATACATGACAATTATTTATTATTAAAAAATAAA